ATAACACCAAGGAGTCAACAGCACTCGCCGATCTCCACCAACACCAGCAGGCCCCGCACTCAGGATAGAATCTCCTTGCCGACCGTCGCTGCGGTAGCAACGGCGGATGCGGCACCCTGCGCCCTGATGCGGTACAATCACTATGATAACATGGCCACTCTCACCGGTAGAATGGCGAACGACGGTCCCCAGGGTGCCGCACCCGCTTCGCTGCCTTCCCCGCCGTCTGTCGCGGAGGTACCCAGCGAGAACGGAGATAACGATCTGATCTCCAATTTGTTGGGTATACGCGAGAAAGGTTTGCTCGACAAGGTTCTTCTGAGCTCGGCAGACGATGCGGCGAAGTTGTTGGGGGTGAACCATAATGAGTAATCGAATGATCAATCCTGTAGGAAAGAAGCGGGGCACGATCAGACATATAAATCGCGTGAACAGATACAGATTGGATTGGAAGTAAATGTAAAGTATAGAATTGTACTCGAGATATTAATTGTCGAGATATTAAGCAATTACTATTTTGAATCTCAGAAAACTATGGGTAGGAAAAAAAGCGGAATTGTAATGTAACAAACCGTTTACCGTTAACAAGAGTCATTCTAACGATTATTAGAAAATTAAAATTATCGTTAATGTCTGATCGCACACCACTTTCTTTTATGGTTCATGAATACAGAAGATATCTTTAAATTGTTCGGATTTTTCGATTCTCCGTTTAAGGTTCACGATCGTGCCTTATACTCTTTATCAATTTGTCGCACGTGTTCGTATAAAACACTGTAGTATCTTGAAGTTTATCCGATGAAATCATTTGTGAGCAGTAGCCGAAATGTTATTTCAGCTACGATATAAAATTTTATCATTGCAATGAGAACAAGAATTATCAACAAGTTTGCTTACATCGCAAAAAGTAGGTGATACGAAGGAATCAATAGGAAGTTTACGAAGGAAGTTTATTTTATGCAAATAATTTTTTTATTATTTTAAAGTAACGTTCTCGATTAAATCTTACTTTTTTATACAATCTTAATTTTGTACGATAAAAACTTCGGATGTATGTAAGAAGATAAAAAAAAAATAGAAGTGCTTGTTTTCAAAATCATATCCCGATTTTGAAGAAATTTAAAGAATAGTTCAAGAAATTCCTTTCGATTCGTTTTGCGGTTCACCTATTTTTTGCATAAGTATTCGCCATGGATTATGATGAAGTATATTATTTGCTATCATGACATACATTTTCTTTATCATTGAAAAGTACCTGCGCTGCACATTCCATTCAGTTTAATTTGTCGATGAGATACGATTTAAAAATAAATGTTACATGATGTATCTTCCTCTTTTATCAATGCATCTGAACTATTTACGCTTCTGACATAAATTCCTTCGTAACGCCTCGAGTCTTCGTTACGAGAAGCGCGTTCTTCGTGATCCCGTATGCCTTTATATTGTGTGCGTGTGTGTATGTGTATATATACACTAACGTTTAAAAATCTCGAACCTTCTTAAATGTAAAATAAAACACATTCTTGTAATTTTTTTATGTTTTGGTAAATATCTACAATAATTTGATTTTTTTTAACTGTAAAACAACAAAAATATCTGTACAAGCAATAACGGATCGATATTGCTTGGAAAATTTATTTTTTATGAAAAAATTTCTTTTGCTTTTATTATAATCCTACATACTTGTGCATTTTATTAATTTTTCATGATTTTTCAAGTATATTTAATGATATTTTTCTCCTCAAAGCATTTCAGACAAATTGTCAGAGTTGTGGTATATAGTTAAAAAGGATCAAACTATGTTGCCAAAATTTAAAAAAACAGCGCAAGAACGTTTTATTTTATTTTAAGAGTATCCAAAAAGTTATAAATGTGCGCGATAGCATGTGTGTATATTATATACAGGGTCCGCCAAAAGTCCCGGGCCGGCTGAATATTTCAGAAAATATACATTTTTGAGAAAAATGTTTCAGACAAAAGTTGTAGGGATCTTTAAAAAGATCTATTCACTGATCACATCCGCTTGGCTTTACGTAAAAATGAATTCTTAGTGCAAAAATGAAAATAAGAGGTACAACCTCCAATGACTTTGATCTTGACGAATGTTATCCAGGACATGATCTTGAACAACATTATGCTAATACCAGCGGTGTGTACTGTAACTTTTAAGCATTATAACTCGAAAAGTACTTAATAAAAAATAACTTTATTATAGTGTTTTAGAAAGCTCTTGACACCTATTAAATTCTGGCATCAAATATAGGGTGTTCCATTCAAAAAAATTAATTTGACCTTGACCTGATCTTGGTGGCATCATCCAAAGTCAAGCGGATGTGATCAGTGAATAGATCTTTTTAAATCCTATAACTTTTGTCTGAAACATTTTTCTCAAAAATGCATATTTTCTGAAATATTCAGCCGGCTTGGGACTTTTGGCGGACCCTGTATATACACATATGGAAATTGCAACAATTTGAATATACATATATAAGATTTGATGTGATCAATATTGCGAATGCACCATGATTTCGCGAACGCATTAACGTAGTTATCTCAAATGCATTATTATCGTGTCATGAAAAGTGCATTAGGAATCGGAAGATAATCCGAAATATTGTTTGTATCCACCTTTCACGCGCAGTATTAGGTTACGCGCGGTTGCGGTTCCTCAACTGTCTCAATGGTCGCGTTCAGCAGACTCAACTATAACGCCGTTGTAGCGGGATGTGAAGCATTAAGAAAAGACAGAAAAAAAGAGAAAAGAAGACAAGGTTCCTTCTTAAAAGGAGGCTGAACTTGCGAACATTTTTCGCAACGCCAATAAGATGGACGCTGCATTTAAATCCAAAGATAAATTCATTTTACGCAATGAATTATTCTAAGTTAGCCATACGCACTAGGGTCTTATTTATTGTTAGTTACGTACTTCTATGAGTGAGAAAAAAAAACGTAATTTAGTGTGAATGTGACTAGCTCGTAGATCGCCTCGACGTATTTGGCGAACTTCGTGTTCTGAACTCGGATGTTCCGTGGGACCTTTCCCGACTGCGACTTCACGCGGAAAATCTCGAGATCGATCTTGCACGTCAATTGGTAAAGAAACTCGCTCGTTCAAGGCTCGCAAATAGTTACGTATACGCGTCGATCTTATCTTATTGTTCTTTTCGATAGGACAGCGAGCGAGACGAGATGCAATCTTCACAAAACGATATGTGGAAACGCGAGGAGCAATATATGGTGAAGTTTATAATCATTATCAATCAATTAGATGGTAACGTCTCGTCGCGTTATGGAAGTCTTAGTGTATATAGATAGCTCGGTTATCTTTCGCGGATGCAATTATACCAAATGATTAACTTGATTATTGACGTAGGTAGGTAATATAGATTAGATTAGATTAGAGCGTGAGATGAGAGTTAGACGGCAGATTTAACTAGGCCAAAGGGAAACGATTTGTGTATTTCCTATTCCTTCACTCTGTCCACATACACACCCCATTTTGTTGTTCGTTTGTGCTTTTATGCAGTCTCGTACCGTCTCTACTTACACATCACATTCTCTTCAATCTCCTCTTCCCTGTCTCCACACATACATATAACTACAAACACATATACATAAACATACACACACACACACACACACATACACAAATACACGTAGATATACGATATTTATTATTTTATAACGGAGACGTTTGTACACGGCTATATGTTTTAGCCAAGTCCGAAACCGAGGTTGAGAATAATCGTTCTTGATCTCGTCTCGGTGCATCTTCTTACGATGTCTCTGTCGAAGGACGTTTACAGATTCAGCCTCCGTCCATAAAAAAAAAAGAGAAGGTCCAGTACCTTTACAAAGCGTCGCATTCCGCGATGTTTTGTAAAGGAAAGGCTGTTTTTCTTTGTAAACGGGCAGAGTTTACAAATATCCTGCGATAGACACACTACGCGTAAACACACTAATTAAGGCTTTTCTGCGCATACGTATATGCTATAGGCGAACGAAGGAAAGTTATATTTATCGAAGCAAATGAGTCCGTTAGAAACTTCTCGAGTGACATTTTCTCCTCTCCCGACTGTCGTGAAAATCAAGGTATCAAGTAATCATTGTAGCGCACGTGTACATGAATAAGTTATATTCTCTAATTTATAAACCAGGAATAATAATAAACGATATGCAATGGATGTACGATTACTTTTTATTTCTTTTTATGCCTTTTCATGATTAAACAATTCTTACTGAACTCTTTGGAGTAATTTACAAAGAAATATTTCAGATTTGACATATAAATTCTCAAAATAAATGTTTAGCGACTCACACTTTGCAGTTTAATTATTAAGTCATTTAAATGAATTGAAAGAGATTTATATAAAAAACTAAAAATGATATAAAATCTTAAAAAATTAATGAAATAATTTATATTACGTTACTGATGTATTTTATAATTCTTATAGTTCAAATTAGCATATCGAAATTAAAAATAAATTTTTTATATGATGATACAATATCTACTCGGCAAAAATCAATAGCTAATTAAATAAATATTTCATAAATATTTGCTGATGTCGTTTCAGTTTCATCAATGTAAGATTAACTTTAATCTCGGTTCAATTCACTCTTTATCTTCTTCTAATTCTAAGAATTAGATATCGATGATAGAACTTTTATATCATATTATTAGATATTGATGATAGAATTTTAATCTCGGTTCAATTTAATCTTTATTTTGTTCTAATTCTAAGAAGAGTAAATAGAAGTTGTCGTTAATCTTACATTAATGGAACCGGGCTTTATTGTTTTATGATATGCCAATACGCGATATTGTATATCTGTAGCCCATGCATGTTGAAAAAACTTAAATCTTGACATTATAGATAAATATTATACCTAAGTCTTGTATACATCATTTTACTAAATAACAATCTTTCTAGTGTAAAATTTAAAACTTATATCACATGCAAAACAATACAATGGGTAAGTAAAATGATTTTTTTTGAGCGCTTTCTTTTAATAAATCGAAAAAGTAAGGCACTATACTTCATTTTGTCTGAAAAAAATGAAAGCTTACGAAGTGAGAATTATGTGTGTGTATTCTCTTTACAAAAATAACAATTTTAATTTATCTGACAAATTCGAAACTGGATCGACAAATATTTCCGTATTCTTCGCTTTCTTCAGTACAGCTTCAATCTTTTTTAGATGTTCCACTACGCGATCCTCGGTGAGATATGGTGCTTTGCCGGCATCATAAATAAGAAACCAGTTGATTATATTCTTGTACAAGTTATCGTAGAAGATTTGCGTCGTGTTAATTAAGGTTTTGCCCATATCTGCAACGATCAGTTCCTCCAACTCATGCTCGGAGGGCTGGCACACCATGAACACCAATTTTCTCAAAAAGCCAGATATAATATTCTCGTCCTCTTTAATGTTGTATAGACATACCATTATTCTAGGCACTTTCTTTAATGCTTTTATGTCAATACGAAATCTCTTGCCCTTTCCCTCGAAACCATAGAGTTTATCATTTTCTACTGGTACTAAGAAAGTAAACGCTTCCATGTTCATGTTTGTAAAAATCGTTAGGTCCAGGATTTGATCGGGCGTGATCCCCTCGAAGCTATCAAGCATATTTACGTAGGCTTTGAATAGATAAATCAGACTGCCCTGACGATGCAATTTATTCTGAGACAATAAATGGTAACTAGTGATATTGGAGTTCTTTTGCAAGGACCTCTTGTGCTTGATTTGCATGAAACGATACATATATTTTTTATTGGAGATGCTTCCGTCCCCCTTTACATCATTAATGGCATATTTCAAAACAAGATCATGAAATCCAAGAGCATTGCGTACTTCCGTAGCCAACCACCAATTGCTGATACTAGCATCGTTCTGGCACATCAGTTTCCATGTGATCCACGTTAAGATCTTCAGTTGATAAATAATACCGCGCGTGCTGCCAGTTTTTAAATATGAGGCTTCATACTGGTTGTCCGAGTCTGCGGAGTTAACATTATTGCATTAGATATTATAAAACTAGAATACAGCGCGCGCGATAAAGATTTATGATTTTATAATAATAAAAAAAATTGCGATCACATTAATAAATAAAGTATCTTATAAGAGGAAAAAATTATTACTGTAAAGCAGAATTTTACAAAACTTATCAAATCGTTTAATAACGGAGAAATGTTAATTGTTAAATCTATTAAAAAACAATGCTACATAAATTTCGTTATAACACTGACGTTTCATAACAATTAAACTTTTAAAATATACATCTTGTAAACGTTAAGACTAAAGAAAGAACAAAGATTGAAAGCTAAATTTGAAAATTATTAGATATTTAAAAATAAATAATAAATATTAGTAAAGTACTAAAAAATATTTAGAAATTGGTAGCTTTAAATATAATATCGATGTTACTATCGATATCGTCGTAACGAGGACCGACGAATCAACTAAGCTATAATTAAATCTGATACAAAAGAAATGCTGATAAAAAAGAAATACGAGTAGGTTATAAAGTGATATATGATTCTCTTATAGCGCGATTAGAAAGAGAGATATTAAGTTCTTTACATATGAACCTTATTTCCTGCTGTCGATTCAAGAAATGCTTATTGAGCATTATAAGACATTGTGTAAACCTTCGAGTGATATTTATGTTATTTGACATTAAATTAATGAGGAAAAAGACCAAGATAATTCAATCGATACTTTTTACAACCTTGATAAAGAATGGTATCTCAAGTGTGATATTAAATATAGATCGTCCAACAATTGCGATTATATAGGGGTAATATAATGATATCATTCGATTACACATCGACTTCCGATTATTCTGAAAATCATTGAAGACGGATGACTCTGATCGAAAAAATTGTCACTAAACTTTATTTTGTTAATTTTAATACGCACATAAACAACATACGCAATTTTATGTATATGTATATACATATATATAGAGTGTATGTATGTGTGTACATAATATAAATATATATTAGATTAGACTATTAATGCAAGATAGCAGACTTTCATTAATCATTACTTAATATGTACGAAAATAGCTAAAAATAGAGCCGAAATGTTCATTTCTGAGAAATAATTATGCATTTTTTAAATTACAGATATTTTTTTTACACCAACGATAGCTTTGATTCATTGATTCTTACAGCCTTTTACTTATGTTATTAAATATACATTAAATATATTTAATTATATGCGTACATAATATAAATAAATAATAAATATAATTTATGTATTAAAAATTATATAAATAATAATTAAATATTAATAATTTTCCATAGAATTCGAAATAATTATAACGAATAAATTACGAAATGTACATAATATATACAACGTTGTAAGTAATTTATCAATAATAATTAAGAAGTTCAATTTATTGCAAATCTGATGTTACAAAGCATCTATTATGGAACAAGTCGGAATGAATTCCGATTGGAATTATTGTTTTTTTTCCTTATAGAAAACACAATTGTGAAATCTTGGGAATAATTAAATAATTCTAATTGGAATTAATTTTGAATAATTCCATACTACATATGTACTCTGCAGGAAAGGAACGAAAAGGAACCTGGTTGTGTTATTTAGAGCAAATGCGTCAGTTGAAAGTAGATTAAACGTGCGTAAAAGCATAAAACTGTGCGTCTGATACGCTCGTCAATTGGCATTGCGGTAATGTCAACATTGATTGACGTTAGCCAATACGTTCTAGAATTTTTCATTCGTGATAAAAATTGTACTATACAGCAGTTATGGAGAAGAATTGATGATCATGATAAATATTCGAATATGCGAAGACGGATACTTACAATTATTAAAACGTTATGATTTTCTTTAAAAAAAAACTTAAGAGAGAGAATTCATGTCTCCAAAGTATTGCAACTTCGTTAGATGTACACGAGAGCATCTATTTTTAAAATTATCTCATATCCTGTTTCGACAAAATGCATTTAATATATGTAAATGAAAGATTCAGTGTATACGTGTATATTCTTATATCAGTAGATAAAACTGAAATTTAGACGTCAAGAGAAAGACGAATAACTTGTGACAAAAACCAAGAAAAGAGAAAATATTTAACACTATTACATTGATAAATTCCCAAATTGTATTATCAATTTTATTGTTCTTTATTCGTATTATTTTATATTAGATACACAGGAATTAATAATTAAATCGATATTTGTCACGGTCCCATATAAATGTATAAGAGATACTATTTTTTTAAATATTTTAACTGTAATTACAAAGAAATATTGTAACGTTATTATGCGATATATGTACATATTTAAAAAATATTTTTTTAATTTAAGGAGTCTAACCACCCTGAAATTCTGAAAAAAATCGAAAAAAATTTTTTTGCATTTTTTTAAAGTTTGAATCTTTAAGAATATTTTAAGTCAAGGTCGAGGTCAAAATTTCAAAAATTAACCAGTTATGAGAATTTTTAGAGAGGCGGATTAGGTTATCGCGCGCGTGAATAACAGACTCTAACCGAGAAGCCTCTCTACTTGAATGTCTTTTGTGTTTTTGCATCTCGAGAGTATCACGTTCTTTTACTCTCTCTCATTATTAAAAGAAGCTGAAGACAAGTTTCTAGAAGCTGAAAGCGAGGTGTATGATGCTGGAATTGTAGATTAGAGGTAAGGCCATTTTATTATATAAGAAAATCGTTTCGAATCTTATTTTACGTTTTTTTCGAAACCACGTTTTTCAAGATGGGTGTAAACTTTTCTTCGTAACTAACAATTTGATTGACTTCAATTTTGGCAGGAATAGTCTTAAGAAGATTATCTATCGTGTAGCGTACGATTTTTTTCGATATGTTAATCCATTTATTTATAACCAATTTTTTAAGTTTTTATTTTAAGGTAAATAAAATTTTTTTTTTCAAATGAGTTATTTTTCGCATTTCTCAACAAAAATAAAAAAAACCCTATGCTACACGATAGCTGTTACACCTATTTACAAGAAAATATTTTACTTTTTGATTTCAGACCTCCCCCCGCCCTCGGAAATATTACACTCGTCCGATCCCGCTGCGAAGGAACTTTACAAAAATTGTTCTATAGCTTAAACTTTTTAATCAATCTGTTTCAAAATTTACAAATTTGCAGTTTCAATATTGTATATTACACATATAAAATATAAATTAATTCTACGCAGTAGTTAATTTTTCGAAAAATCTTAAATTTGTGCTTATTTTAGACCCTGTCAGGATGGTTAGACCCTTTAAATACTTTTTAATTTAATTAAATAATCGCTGCATACAGACAAAAAAGTGACACAAGTAAAAACACCGAAAAAAAATCGATCCTAAAAGTTTTCTTTTCATTATCTAAAAAATATCAATTTCTTATTTGTATCACTTTTCTATCGATGCAACGATATACATGTATCTATTCTTGAAAGATGTATGCGTAAAGGATGATGCAACTGCGTATCGCGATTACTCTAGATCTACAACAGGTGTTTTAAGAGCTTAAATAGTAAGAAACTGATCAATTACAGTCGAATTCGAGGAGAATAATCGAATACGATTCGTCCATTTCTTATGGTTTAAGGCTTAAAACTCTATTGTAGATCCGGGGTTAGAAGACGTAAGGTTTGTCGCGTCGCAAGCTCCAACATGCTCCAACATGCTCCTACCATAGCTCCTAAGACTACGGTCCACTTGATGCTACAAATGCTTCGAAGCATTTTTTGATTGGTCAATTAGTAAAATTCTTTCTTCCGATGGTCAATCAAAAGCTTCAAAGCATTTATAGCATCAAGTAGACCGTAGCCTTAGGAACTATGGTAGGAGCATGTTGGAGCATGCGACGCGAACAAACCTGTATAGTTAAGTGATGCATCATAGAGAATATTTTCTACAAAATATTCTGCATTCAATCGGTAAGCATTTGACTATTCGTAATTGCGTGACAGTAGGAACACTAATAATTACGTAAATACTTCGAAATTATCTATCTTCCAATTGTTGCATTTACACTAGGCCGAACCAAACTAGTACCAAAGTAGTACACATATACAAGTTTTTCGTTTAATTTCTCTATTATACATAAATCTACACACAGAACTGCAATAATCATATACTGACCGCTCGCGACCGCGACACTGGTGGCACCAATTTTCTTTGTGCGTTTCTTATCCTCCATTTGTCCGATGCTCTTAATGCTCGTGCCTAGTTTAGCACTCTTAATTAATAGTGTTAATTGCGACGTATGCACCGATATCCAGTTGGATCTAAACTACTGGTGTCGATTCGTTATACGCGCAATGAGTACGTCTCTCCAACACGAAGTGACTGACGTTTCTGAGGGCAGAGGGAAAGTCCCGAAGAGAGCATAATAGCTCTCTCAGAAATCCCTGCAGTCTGCAGTGCAATATGGGTGGGAGAAGACGGACGCGACTCGAGGTGGTGGTTGCGTACACTTGAGAAAAGAAATATTTAGAAATGAAAGCGATAAAGATAACGATAAAGCAGGCAAATAGGTCGGGATAATCATGTATGGTTTGCTAATAAGACATATTTTTTAGAACGTACCCTTTATTTAAAACTAATCACATGCAATTTTAAAATAAAAATTTACGAGATGAAATATAAATATAAAATGTACAATAAGAGACAAATGTACAATAAGAGACAAATGTACAATAAGTTACAATTAAAACAATTATTTTAAAAATTTATAGTAATATATTATTTTATACAGTTATACAGGATGTCTCAGATTTTAACGACTAAACTATGTCAGTGTTTTACACACAGAAAAATATATCATTCTGCTGCTAAGAAAATGATTACTCAGCAGGGATCTGGACCATCAAAGATATTTTTCAATTCGGTTCTGGTCATGGTTAGAAAATAAGTGTTACGGTTTTATGTTTCAGTTTCGATTTCAGTTCTAAAAAAAAAGGGTATATAACAGTTTTAGGTTTTCTTTTCAGTTCAGTCCGGACTGTTACTCAGCTCACTTTTTAAAAATAATAGTCTTAAAATATATTTATTATAGAAATATATATTTGATAAAATTCTCATTATTATATACTCAAACAAAAATTTATTTTTTCTTAAGTATAAAATTTTATCAGCGCGACTTTATATAATAATTAAACACAAATCGAATTTATTTTAATTTAATAAATCTTGATGAAAGTAATGAACTTATTAGGATTCAGAGCATATTTTAAATAAATTTTATGTTTGTGACGAACTCTCTCTCTTTCTCTCTCTCTCTCTCTCTCTCTCTCTCTCTCTCTCTCTCTCTTATGATAGATTTGAGAATATATTATGAATTTTACTTCAAACGAGTAATTAATATTTGAATGCAGTAGATATTTTTCTATGTATACGAATAAATATAAGAAATAAATATTATTTAAACGTAGGTCCACAGAAGCTTTATTAAAAAATTTTAAACAAAAAATAAAGTGCTAGGAATGAAAGAAATCTGCTTTAATTATTAACCCTTCGAAGCGGATGGTGAATATATTGAACTTACATCCAGTTACAAATCTGTCAAAATTAAACAATTCTATATATTTTCTTTATATTACATCTAATTAGATTATTCTTATTAAAATATACTCGATATTTTTTTTATACGAGTTGTCATTATTGGTTCCTTGAAATTAATTAGTATCTATATCTTTTAATTAACATAAAATAAATGAATTTTAAGACCTAGCAACAGTAACTATGTTTCAGATTTTGGCGCCAGCTACAGAGAATTAATAGTATATGATTTTATCAATGTTCCATTTCAAAATGTTATTTCGCATCTGAACCATATTAATTTCATGGAGTATGAATTGATGAAGTACTCTGTTTATGAAAGAAAATATTTTAATTTTTCTAATTCATTTCAAAGCATATGGATATAATTGGCTGATTGTTCGATGCAAACCTTTAGCCACCAACGTTACTAGATTTAATATCGTTATATTTTTTTGTTGTAACTCTTAATTTTTAATAAAGCTTCTGTGAAATTAAATTTATAAAACTTTTTTTCTTATTTTTACTCATAGAACATACTGACTCAGATTGACTGTTAAAACTTGGAACACCTTGTACGTACATTATCAACTGCTTATCATAATAAAATATTATACGTCTAAATGTTCCTTAAATAATTATAATTGTAACAATTACAGAAAAAATTAAAAATTATTTTTGTTATTTAAGAAAAAGGAATGTTTTTTATGTCGATACTTTATTCTTTCTGATAAAAATCTATTTTTTCTCATAACAGTAAGGCTCGATTATTTCTCGGAAAGATAAAGAATATCGATAATACTAGTAGTAATAAATGTTTTTCAATTTGTTATCGATATTTGCGAGATATCCCTATAAGAATGTATCATATTTGTCGTGTTACCACAACAAATTTTATAATTATAAAATTCATCCAAATCTAGAGACATTTTCAACTCAAATGCTCTCTAGGGAAATGTTAATTTTTATATAATGGTATGCTCGTAATATTCTGCTGTAATATGAATATTATAAAGAAACACTATAATATGAACTAAAAATGGGGGAATCCCTTTTTTATTTTGTATATATATTTTATGTATAAGTACATATAAAATTGAAAGATTATGTGATCCTGTCATATTCTATCATTTTTATATTAAATTAAATGTTATAACATAAAACAGTTGTGATTTTCATGGACTGAGGTAATTGGAAAAGATTGCATTATCTTTCATCGTTTTCATAGATGTACTTTTTATTTCGAATATTATATCTGGCGAATAATAATCATTACTTAAATAAAGTCATGTTACGGTAAATGAAGCAAACATCACTATGTACATATAAATATTACATGATTCGCTATATCGCATTCTATCGAATGCACTCTACAAGTGGCAGCTTATATAATCTACGCGCGAAAAATCGTTTAGCATACTAACTGCGAGATATTGTTAAAACTTTTACTTTCAACATTCCCTTCAACACTATATGGAAAAAGGCGCACTCTGTTAAAAATTCAACATCTGAATTTATCGGACAATCTAACATCAGCTTGTAGCAAATAGTGCTATTAGCTTACTAAGCTTACTTATACAAACATGTACTTTGTATTGTAATATGACGCGCAAATCGATTCTGTATGCGCTGTCAATTTTCATAAGGCGAACATACCTGAACATCGAGGATGATTAACGGGACCCAGAATAATCTATTTACGAAAGTAATTATTTAGGGAAGTCACACAGGAAATGTCGCCAGTAGAAACGATGTTGGATTCATAATTTTTTATGATCCAATCGCATGTAACACGTCATACTAAAAAGATCATCTTTTTTTTATATTTTCTCTCTTTCTTGACAGTTTATATTTTATTCCAGCCCTAACGTTCAAAATAATCTTAATGGACATACACGCTTCTTTTACATGTATTCTATGCAAGATACATGTATTTTTTGCTAAAAATTGCAGAATCAACGATATCCATGAAAGGAATGGAAGATAGAGGAAAATTATATATATAACGATCTCTAGTTCTTTAATAGATAATATAAAAATCTGTTGGAGATATAATTTTCAACCATTTATGGGCATAAATTATTCATATACTAGGCTCTCATATATTTGTATTATTCTTATTATTACGATCAAGCAACTACTTCGAATTTAGCTATTCTCAATTAAAAAAAGCTTATGGAAGTTCTTACTGGCGAAATGTCTTCTAGGAAGATCTTATTTATCGAAAAATCTTATTAATATAATCTATAGTGGAAAAAGTATTATATTATGCACGAGAAATCTGGAACACGTTGCTTGTCGAGAGATTTAATCTCTCTATATCGAATTTCTCGTCGCAATATCTAATATGCATATGTGTAAATATATAAGCTAGTTGTAACAAGCAGATGCAATACGCAAACAGAACTTTGTAGATACTAATAAGAATATATACAACTATCGGAATATTTTCATTGTCTTTGTCATAAGTGACATGTCCTGAAAACAATATTATGAGCCCGTAATCTTATTGCACATTTAATGTTAAATGTTTTATGTCCACAATCATATAACAATTGTTATACGCGTTTAGAAAATTATACAGAAGTAATATTCTCATTGCAAGCGAGAAAAGTATTTGTTATTGCTTTCTGAATACAAATTTGAATAAAAATATGTAAATATATGTATTTGTAAATATATTAATTTATAATATTTTCATGATATATTATATAATACGTTATATAATATATTATAAAATATATTATAAATATATTAAGTTGATATATTCATTTCGAAGAAATATATTTCTTTATGAACAAAAACAAAATAGAAAAATAGGGGGAAGAGAAGGAAGATAAGAGAGAGAAAGAGAGAGAGGGAAAGAAGAGGAGAAAGACAGAGCCACATTTAATACTAAATGTGCAGCGAGTATGCTTCAAATATCTATTGAGAATATCAGCAAATCTATCGCATATTTCATACGGACAATAAACATCATTAAATATGCACTCATAAGCAACTGTTAGCGTACACTGAGAATAATCGAAATATTAGAATGGAAAATTATTACTTCATTAAAACTTGCTACACCGTTTGATTAATTTTCAGATCGGTATTATGCTCCGTTGCGTCTTCCATCGAATATCTACACTTTTCAACATCTTTTACGTTTTCTTCTGTCTTAACGGAGTTGTCAGCCACATGATCATTCTCGGTCTTACACATTTCACCCGATGTGGTTATATTAGCTTCTGTTTTGATTTCTTGCTTAACTGTAAATGCTTGCTTTCTGGCTTTAGTTTCCTTTTTGGTGTCTGTTCTCTCCCTCTCATACATAAACGTTTTTCGTTTTCTTCGCATCGGCTTGCACACCTTTTTATATAGCACATTCATCTCCTTTACTCTGCTGGTCGGGATCGTCCAGTCCATCTCTTTAGCCGTTGTATCGGAATTTCGTGTTGGATCCATACTGCTTTCATATTCCGGAATTCCCAATCCCAATTTATTCATGACAGCGATCATTACCTCGTCGACGTTGCCATTGATAATTAAGTCAGCTTTTTTATCCTACAAGTATACATTTTTATCAGTGGTGAAATACTTAATACCTTTTTACAAATTTATGCCGTGTGATAATCCTACATGTTTTGTCGGTTGCAGATTACATATAACGAGACGGCCTCCGTATTTTTTCGTATATAAAGGCAGATTACCACTTGGAATAATTTGTAACGTTGTTCCCAGACATATACTTAAATCGGCGACACTAAAAGAACATCAGTATAAACATTATATTTAATATCGAGATGTACAACGCGCTATTTTAGATATGTATTTTCAAGAATTTTTATTACAAAACCTGAGACATTCCGCAAGCCATACTAAAACCATGTGTACTATTACATTTACAATTTTAATACAATTCTTGATGTATGAATGTTAAAGTTTGCAAGCATAATAGCTTCGAGTATTTTATTATAATTTCTGCTACTCTGAATGCTGATACATAATATTATAGTCATTTACCTGGAGTGAAGGTCAGACAGTGTCAAGTCGCTGTCTGGCAAATTATGCTCCCAATCGAGAATGGTATCGTGCATTCGGCCACGGCACGGGCGTCCTCCTATTTGTTCCGATCTGCATACAGTATCTAAGGACTTTTTTCCTACGCTTTTGGTCGCAAAATTTCGAATAAATTGTCTGCACAATAATTTATATTCTTAGTACTTTTAATATTCTCATTACAAAAAAGCTAACATTGCTATAATAATTGAACTCATTTTCTCATATTTATTGTTTATTGTTTGGACTGAATTTTTTTTAACGGAATTAAGTATATTAATTAAATCTAAACAATTTGTATTTTTATTGTTTCCTTATATATTTGAGATTATATTTTTATGTATGTATACAAACCTGCCACATTTGTCACATTGCTCTGTAAACATGTTTCCATGCAGCTCAGCAAGATGTTGCCTCTGTATTCCTGATCGTAAATGTAGTCCATCTATATTCTGACTTATAATGAACTTTACTTTTTCTAAAAAAAAAAAGAGAAAAAGAAAACATCGTGTAGAAAAAGAAAATTTATAAAGAGAACTTTCAAGTGTTTTTTTACAATTTACTTTGCCAACACTTACTGACTTCTATCAATTTTTTCAATGCCATGTGAGTCTTTGTAGGGATTGCTTCATCAAAAGAGATGTTCATGGAAGGTTTTAAACCCTTTTGTTCCAATGTCCATACACCATTTGTACCCCTAGTACAAAAAAGATGTCGCTCAAATTGGCGATATAAATAAATATGTTGCATTCCCACAATTATGGAGTTCTCTATTTGTTCAATTTATAAATAACTACAAATTTCGCTTACATATTTAAATTCCTTAATTTCTTTTTTTAATTTCGTGTATTTATTAGTTCTAAAATATAATAAGTTATAAGGATAAGTTAAAAAAAATACATAAACATGTATGTTTATGTAATCTTTAAAAGTTAGAATACTGGCATGAGAAGGAGTCTCTTTTATAAAAGTACATAATGACTTAGCACTGTTCATTATGTTTTTTATCTCATACTCTTTTAATCTTTAAAAATTCTTCTGCGTCTTCCTTTCCAGGATACTCAAATCGCAGTCTTCATTGGAAGCGAGTGGGAAAATAAGGATACAGGAGTGAGTTCAGGTATGGACAGGTGCAAAATTCATAATCTTGAGAAATGACAATGCGATAGTCACCGAAAATCGGGAATACCCGCCGCGGTGCTGATACCGGCTCCGGTGTGGACCACGACGTGACGCGCGCCTTGTATCCATTCGGCCAGGAGACCACATTTCAGACGAAGAGTCTCAACGCTGTCGTATCTCTGCAAGCAGAAAGGAATAAAAGAAAACGAAGAAAAAAGAAAACAATGGAACCAAAAAAAAAAAAAAAAGTAGAGCGTCACTCGACTCCGCGAGGAATTGGCGACGTGGAGTAAAACGCCATCGCGTTTACCGCGCGTCGCCGAAAACTTGGAGAAAAGAGGAAAAAATAAAAAAAAAATCTCATCCCGCCGAATATTTTTTTACCTCTTCCAGTCCGAGCACTCCTTTGTTTTCGTACGGCGATAACCCGTCCGCGTAGCTCGATGACATTTTTGCGCGTCCGCGAAGTCCGAGGTGAGTCCCGTCCCGATATCCGTAATCACGACGCCTCGAGGGAACGCCACGAACAGCGATACGTGCCCGTCGTCTCACACGAAGCGGGTTCGACGCGATTTTCAGCCGCGCTCCGGCCGCCCTCCCATGTGCCAGACGAATACGTAAACAATATGAATCGAGAGCTAATGACCGCGTGCTGTTATGTTTATACGCTACGAATGACGATAAGTGATAGGAAACTCGAGACCCGCGGAGAACGCATTCTGTTTTATAGACTGCACTGCATGCAACGAAATGGCACTTGAACAGAAAGAAGATAATAAACCCCCCGGGGCATGCGCTCTGAGCCGCGCGCCGTAGGAGCGGCGATCGGTCGTTCCGGACGCCACGGACGCTTGGGTTTATCTCGCCTGCATTCAATTCATGCACGAGCCATCAACCAAGCGCGCACGGCGGGAACTTCGAACCGTCGTGTTCCCTTATTTATCGAAATAAGAAGTCCCTTTTCTGTGGCTGAACTAGTGTACACTTTTGGAACTTAGGCCGGTATTCATAATCAGATCTTACATTCAAGACCGTCTTAAGTACAGTCTTAAGATGTCACGAACCAATCAGAGGGCCGCATTAGTGTCTTAAGACATTACTTAAGACAGTCTTGATGTAAGAATCGACTATGAATACCGGCCTTAGAATAAGATAGATTTGTGTTTGATATTTATCGAAAGCAAGAAAAAGAGTTCTAGTATAGGAACAGAAAACAAACCAAAGGTGAAAATGACAAAAGTGAATGAAATTATTAGAATATTTATAAACAAAATAATAAGGAATATTTTTTCCAAATTGCACTCGAAGTACGAATTTACTAGAATATTTAAAAACAAAATAATAAGACAAAGGACATAGGAATACTTTTCTCAAAGATTGCACTTGGAGTATGAAGTCTGCGCAAATTGAACCAATTGTATTTTTTCTTAATTCGAATAACTGTATATAAAATGACAATTGAAAGATAAATTCATATCGTACGTTATATGATATCACGTTTTGATTTGAAGCTTTTGTTTGAAAATAACAAGAGTGAGCAAATTTACTATATGGTGTGTTGACAATGAAATTATAATTATTCTAAATAAATATAAATATAAATATAATAATGATTCTTATGCTCTTTGTCTTATATTATTTTGATTAAGAGAAGTCATTATTACATCTATATTTATTTAAAATATTCATAATTTCATTGGACAACATTTAGTAAATTTGCTCATTTTTGTAATTTTCACCTCGTATCATGATACACAATCGGAGATCATTCCTCGTATCAGAAATCTTTTATACTTATTAATAATAATTCTACTTTTTCTTTTTTTACATACAAAGATATTTAAAAAAACGATAAGCATTTCAGCTTTTTTATAATATGTATATATATAAATAAAAAGTATAGAATCGCAATCCTTAACAATCAATGAAATTGACTAAAGTTTTGATCAAACCTCAGTTCATTTAAACGATAATTAATTCGTCAAGGAATATAAATATTTTATTAATACAGATAAAATTATTAAAAATCACTTTTTGTAATTTTTGATACAGTAACAAAATTTATTAAATATTAATTATACACACATATTTTTTATTGAATTAATTCAATATGTATAAATTCATATTTTTAAAAATAGTATTCTAAATAAACGTTTATGATAAATTCGATCGCTTACACTACTCTGTATATTAAATGTACTGTTTTATATATAGTATTTAAATACAGTGGCTTAATCAACTTTGACAATAAAATAATACACATGTATATTCTCTTAAATAACGTGACAATATCATTATTAAATAGCTAATTATTAAAAATATTTATAAATCTTTACATTTAACTTTGTAAATTTAATGTATAGCAATTTTTAGCTGTAGCAGTATATCCATTAATTAATCTAGCACAGTGCAATTAACCGAATTCGCTATTACTTACAGTAAATAAATATTTAATCCTAAATACAAAATGATAGTTAAGTGAAATTAACGATTCTTAATAAATGATTCTAATAAATACACGTTTGCATTTAGTAAATATTTATACTTGGAACTATTCAAACAAATATTTTTATTAAAATTTTAATATCTTTTTTATGTATATAAAAAGAAAGATTGGATTAATGGCGATAAAATATATGTAGTTAACAATTTTGCCATAGATATGACATTGATTAAGTCGCGATTCTCAGTGAAACGACTTTGATCAAAGTTTAATTAATCTTACTCGCTAGTCAAAGTTTAATTAAACTTGATCGCCGAAGTCGTCCTGAGGATTATATATCGAAGGAGCATGTTTCGCAGTGTCGTTGACGGTAAAAAAAAAGTTGTACAACTCGCTAAAAGATTTCGTGAAGCGGAATTGGACTTAGGTGGCGTCTCGCGTTCGCCGTCCGTCGCTCTCGCCAGCGGTCGTTCTCCACGTTCTCCTCGATTTCCATTCCACACCGATCTCCGGCGCCTAGGAAGTTTCTTCGTTTCTTCCGCACATGCTGCCGCCTGCCGCTTCGCGGTCGCGTTAACCGCTGATCGAGTATCTGCTTTGTCGAGTGATGGGGAACACGCGTCGCGACGAAGAAAGATGCGGGGCGCCAGGAAAAAAAAGAAAGCCAACCGCTGAGTAATCCCCAGGTCGAGCATGCGGTCAGTCGAGAGAGACGTTGCGTCGGTTTTCGCGAATAATCGGCACGTATATATACCTATACATCTACGTGTATCGAGAAGGAAAAAGAAAGAGAGAGGGAGAGAGAGCGAACCGCGCGGCGAGTTGGGCGCGTTACGTCGTCGATGTGTGCGACCAGGTGATTGAAGAAACACTCCCTCCTCCCCCTCTCTCACTCTTTCGTTCACTCTCTCCCTCCCACCCTCGTGCTGTCTCTCTCCCTCTCTCCCCCTCTCGCATCTATTCCGACTCACACCCTCTCCGATACATAACCTCAAACCGTCGGCGGGTTCGTGTCGCGTCGTTCGACGTTCCGCGGCCGCGTATGTTTTCAGCCACGGCTGAACCGGGTTCCGGATGTGCGTGGCGCGGTTCCTGCCGTCGCAGCGGGTGTTAATGAGCTCCGGCGGTTTCTCACCACATGAGACTCGTAAGTACATTCCTGCCATCGGCTTTTTTTTTTTCCTTCTCTTTCGCCCCTGCCTTCCCTCTCCCTCCTCCTCCCTCCGTCATTGCCCTTTTTCTCGTCCTCGTGGACTCGTGCCCCGCGATCGCCGCGCGTCCTCGACGAGTTTTTTTTTCCCTCCCCGTGCCAGGCGTCCGCGGCCTTCGCCGTCGGCGCCGATAAATCCCTCCCCGGCGAAATTTTCGCGCGTGCCGGCGGCGTGAATTCCGCCGTAACTCCGCGCGTGGTTTCGGACGGAAACGTCGTTAAGGGTACCTTCGTGTGTCTCTTCGTTTCTTTCTTTTTTTTTTTTGACGATCGCACGCGACGTACCTGCCTTTCTTTTTCCCCCTTTCTCGGAACATAGGAATTTCATTTCACGCAGAGCGACATCTCCGTTCGTGTATGTTACCCGTTATCCTCGGGATGTTGCTCTTGGAATGCCGCTTTTAGATCGCGCCGAGCTGTTCAAGTTGAAGTACACCAAAACCGGAAAACGCATCTATTTTAAGTGACACGAAGACGATTGGAGCGAACCCTTTCCACCTACTTCAGTCTTCAAGTAAAGAATGTGGGTCCTTTTGGCGGTGATACTTTCGACTTTTTGAAATCAACACTTTTCTTTTGCTTTTCATCGTGCCACTTTTTCGAGAAGTAAAGATTAATTATTAATATTCGTTATTAATTTGCATTAATATTTAATCGTATGCTGTTACTTGAGAAGTCGATCGAACTCCGATTAACTTTTCACCAAGATCTGTCTGTTAAGTTCTATTATATAACACGGATAGAATTGTTAATTGTTTATTATTTGACATGAAAAAAAATTATTAATATTCGTTTTCATTAAGGTATACTATAGATTAACTTTAATCTCGGTTGAACTTGCTTTTCATCTTTTTCTAATTTTAAGAATTAGAAAAAAAAGAGTAAGGTGAATCCAGCATCTCTTTGTTAACTTGGAATTAATTGTCAATTGTTTATCGTTTGATATATGAAAAAAAGATTAGATTAATGCCTGTTTCCACCAATGTAGATTAACTTTGATCTCAGTTCAACTTATTTTTTTTTTCTAGTGTTAAAAATTGGAAAAAGAAGAGTAAGTTTAATTGAAATTAAAGTTAATTTGCATTGGTGAAAACGGAAATAAAGGGCGACGAATTATGTAGTCAGAAATCTTGTTTGGTTATTCTGCCGCCAATCGAAGATTTAATTAATCATTCCATATGTGCTAATGAACAGTTTTCGTTTTTCTCGAGTTTAAATACACATGAAAATGTTCTCACGTTACTTTTGGTGCGCGTATTTTTTTCAAACGAAAGTTTCGGAATTTCGATCGCGCCGATGTATCGGCGATCTCTCCATGGAACAAACGAAGTAATTAGGACCGGTCGGCCACACGTTCGGTGCTAAATGACACGCTAAATGAATGAGAATGCGAGACTTTGTGCCCGCGATAAAAAAAATACACGTGTATTTTTTCATAAGGATCCGACTTGCGCGATACTCCACGACGTGTGCGGGCTTCTGATAAGCACGTGCTACTTTTGTGTAAATTGTACAAGGTTTGTTGCGAAAGAAAACAATTATCTAGGATGACTCGAAAATCAATAATATCGTACACACAGGGTGTTCTGAGTTGTTTGATCAAGAGTATATACGCGTATACGCTGGGCTTCCGCTTACATAATTATAACACTGTTCCTGCTCCTTTCGCTTGATATCACAACAGGCAAACACATGGAAAATTAATTTTATATGTACAGAGCAGTGTTTTCCAGCGAATTCGGTTAGACGCACTAGTGCGCACTGCTGCATATTAAAGCCATTGTATACGGATTTTATTTGGGTGTAAAAATTAAATGCAAATATTTCGAATTGTAAAACACACATTTTTCCTAACAATACAATAAAATGTATTGAAGATTTGGCGGTTTAATCTATTTCTATATTAAACACACGTTTTTACGTCAATCTGTGTACGACGATTTTTATGTGCATCTACACACTGAGTACGTCGAATCGAATTTGCTATTAAACACAGATATTGTCTCGAAAACAGTCACTTTAACATAAAAAAGAATGATTTTTGAAGTATCTAAAAATTTAGGTAGACAGTAGAGTTCGATCGAAATCTCGGTTTCGGTCAGTTTCGGTTAAAAATCGGAATTTTGGTTTGATTTCAGTTTCGGCTGAAATTAAGAGAAGATTTCGGTAAGTAAATCGAAACTGTACAAATTGCATCGCGCCGGTGAGCATTCGAAAAACTATGTTCCTTACTGAATAAAATCACGTCACAGAGTTACATAATGAAATCATGTAATTAAGACAAGTAAATCACGTAAGATAAATAAATCACTTAACGGATTATTCCAAATTAGTACGCGATTTTTTAAAATTACGTAATTCTAATATTAAAAATAATTTCATCCATTATGTGATTTTATATTTATCGAAAAAATTTTAAAGAATTGAATGATAGAAATATATATAGAAGAAAAAAACTTTTCAAATTACTTAATTAACAAAATCATATACTGATTTTTGGAATAATCCGTTAAGTGATTTATTTATCTTAATTACATGATTTCGTTATGTAATTTTGTAACGTGATTTTTTTCGGTAGAGTTATCATAGATTAATCGGCGTCAATTGCTGTAAACTACGCCAGTGCTATCTCTTCTTTCTTTATCCTTTTTTACTCGCCAAGTTGCCACCATGTCTAATGCTTGAAATTCTTTATAATTTATAGGAAATTCCTTATAATTTAAGGAATAATAAGATATTAATAAAATCTGATTTTTAAAAGAGAGAGGATACATAAATTTTACGTAGTTTAAAATTTCCAATGATTTTCTGAAAATCATATAATGTTTGTGAGATTTATCAAAAAATTTCGGTTTCGGGGTTTCGGCCGAAATTAAATAAAAATCGAATATTCGTTTTCGGTTTCGACCGGAGGTAAAAAAGTGGTTTCGAGTAGACTCTAGTAAACAGATCTAAAAATAATTTTGCTGGACCATTAAAATAATTATGTAGGAAACTCAAATGCGACAATGCTATAAAAACTTTCGACTTTCTAGCAAACAATTTGAATTACCTGCATAATTATTTCAATAGTCCAACAAAATTATTTTTAGATCTGTATGTAGCTAAATTTTTATAAACTTCAGCAAAATCGTTCTTTCCGTGAACAAATTTGATTTGGATTCTTTCATAGGAAAATTATCATACAATTTATATTAAAAATAACTATTAGATAAAAATAACTATTAGATATGTATTATCATATAAGACTTATAAGAACTATTTTTTTTCAATTATATAAAAAATATACAAAATTATTAAAAATAAATTAGAATGAATGGAATGTTTACTATTATATTTATTTCTTATTACATATATTATAATGATTATATTTATATTTTAGAATATTTTAAAATAATCAATAAATAATGTATAAATATTAATTATTCTAATATTTATTATTATATTATATACATATATTTCATGTAAATTATTATTATCTATATATCTTTTTGCGAGTTATTAATTTCAGGTGATATTATATCTAACGACTGTTATATTTTGTAAATATTCCATCGTTTCTTTGCAGCTATTTTAATTTGATAAGGCATTTTTTTCAGTAATCGCGCGACGATAAGATGTTTTCCTCATAGAATGTGTTTAACAGATAATAACAATCTAAATTTCTAATGTATACAATACAGTTTCTAAAGAAATATCTTCAAGATTTTTAAATAACAAAAAAAAAATTTAATAATGGAAAAATCAACTGATTATTCTAATATAGTATATTATCGCGTAATACGATTTTAATTATTATGATATATCAATATGAAAAGAACGATTTTGTTGAAGTATCTAAAAATTTAGCTGGATCTCAAAATAATTTTGTTGGATCATCTATTATATAATAGATTATTTAATAATATCAAGCAATGCTGCAAAAAGTTTTGACATTCTAGCAATCAGTTTGAGCGTCCTACATTATTTTGATAATTCAACAAAATTATTTTTAGATCTATATATAGCTAAATTTTTATATACTTCAGTAAAACCATTCTTTCTGTAAATCAGATACGTAATACCCAAAAAGAACAAAGTGAAAAGGTTTTTAATCGAGCTCAAAGTCTATGACGTGCTAGGAATTTCGATACTTGTGGGGCGTTCCTTAGATCGCATTCAGGGAAAGTCGACACGTGTATTCGATTTCCTCTTTCGTGTATATTGGAAAGAGAATACACTTCGTGCGAGTTTACGCGTGGCATTAGAACTTTAGAGTACTATGAATAAATCATGGGGACGCAGCCGAGGAATTTTTTTCTCCAAACTTTCCGCTCGAAAATTCAATTTTTCAAGAGGTCGCCGCGAAAATTTCGGTTCAACGTTGCACTTTCGCGAACGGTCGCCCTTTGAAGGGATCAACGCTACCACACTTTGTCGTAGATATATATTAAAAGCCCTTTTGTACGTGACATGAAATGAAATATTGTCGCGATGGTATATCGCGTGACATTGATTCAAGAAGGGTCAGCTAAAGAATAACTCACTGAGGTATCGGGTAATAAACTTGCCTTATAATTAATACCTGTCATTTTTCAATCAATAAGTTGAGTACTATTAAAATTGAGAGCGATTATCTGATATTATCTGATTATTATATTGAATTTAAAGACTGCTACTTGTTACACCCTGATGATTATTAAATGGATTATTAATTTTACGGTAAATTAAATATTATTTTTAAAAAGGAGATCGTTTGGTATATGTTTACTTGGGTAATCATTTTAAATTACAGTTGTACAAATATCTTGCCAACAGTTCTCATTCTTATATGTCGTATATGTTTTGTCGAGTTCTTTATTTACGATACGACCAAGGACACACATACATATACAAACGAAAACTGAAATTAAAGTTCGGATTTTCAATCAACCACAAGGAAAGCTGCAACATTATTT